CCCTTTTTACTTCTGGGAGACTTTAATGGACACAACCCCCTCTGAGGTGGTGCTGATATTGATGAGAGGGGTCGTTCCATAGAGCATATGCTCTCGTTGACCAGTTGCCACCTCCCTTTTTACTTCTGGGAGACTTTAATGGACACAACCCCCTCTGAGGTGGTGCTGATATTGATGAGAGGGGTCGTTCCATAGAGCATTGATGCTCTCGTTGACCAGTTGCCACCTCCCTTTTTACTTCTGGGAGACTTTAATGGACACAACCCCCTCTGGGGTGGTGCTGATATTGATGGGAGGGGTCGTTCCATAGAGCATATGCTCTCGGATCACAACCTTTCTCTCTTCAATACTGGAACATATACTTATTTTCATGCACTTAGTCAGTCTTTTACTGCCATTGATCTCTCGATTTGCTCCCCTGCACTTTTCACTAGCTTTTCTTGGATGGTCGACAGTGATCCACAGGACAGTGATCATTTTCCTATCATACTGAGAGAGGTTGGCCATGGTTGATGCCACCCGACCTGAGTGCCACGGTGGAAGTTGGACCAGGCTAACTGGCCATCTTTCACCTCTCTCTTTGAACTTGATCCTGCCTTCGTTTGTTTGCCATCAATAGACGACTGTGTGATTGCAGTAACTGACTGTATTGTCCAGCTGGCAGATCATTTTATTCGTAAGACCTCGACACGTTTTTCACAGTATCCTCGTCCATGGTGGAGTCCTGCCTGCCGGGAGGCATGGAAGGCTCAAAAACGGGCCTGGGATACCTTCCGACAGTATCCCTCTCTTTTTAACCGCATTGTTTATCAGCGGGCCCATGCCCATGCACGGCAGGTTCGACGTCAAAGCCAAAAGGAGTCTCGGATTAAGTTCACTACTAACATCTCTTCTACCACCAGTTCCAAAACTGTATGGGACAAGATTCAGAAAGTCACTGGGCGGTATGCTTCCCATCCCCTTTCCATCTTGCTCTCCAATGGCCAGGAAGTTGCTGATGTCCAGAGCATTGCTGATGCTCTCGGCCAAAGCTTTTCTCGTGCTTCTAGCACTTCTGTTTCTTCCCCTGCCTTCTTGGCCATAAAGTCTTGGACAGAGCGATCGCCTCTTTCCTTTCGGGCCGATCATTTCTATGATTATAATTGCCCCTTTACACTGGTGGAACTCAAACTTATTCTTCATCAGTCTGATAGTACATTGGTCGGACCTGATGATGCTCATTATGAGATGTTGCGCCATCTCTCTCCTGCCTCTCTTGCTCTACTGGTTATTTTTTAACCGGATCTGACAGGAGCATATTTTTCCTGATGCTTGGCGCCAGGCTATTGTCCTCCCTTTCTCTAAACCTGGGAAGAATCCCAAGATTCCTTCTAATTATCGTCCATCTCTTTGACTAGTTGTGTTTGTAAGGTCGTAGAGAGGATGGTTAATGCTCGTCTTGTTTGGTTCCTGGAATCAAACATGCTCCTCTGGCCTACACAGTGTGGGTTCCGTCAACAGCACTCCACCATGGACCATCTGATTTGACTTGAAACATTGATAAGGGAAGCCTTTCTCAAGAGAGAACACCTTCTTTCTGTGTTCCTCGATCTCGAGAAAGCTTATGACACTACGTAGAGGTATGGAATTTTGCAGGACCTCCACTCCTATGGGTTGCGTGGCCATTTACCCATTTTTATTCACAACTTTTTACTGAACAGGCGATTCCAAGTCCATGTGGATTCCACTCTTTCCCATTCCTTTCCACAGGAACTTAGAGTCCCTCAGGGCTGTGTCTTGAGTGTCACACTTTTTTAGTGTTAAAGTTAATGTCATCTCTACAAATCTTTCTCCGATTGTTGCAAATGGGCTCTATGTTGACGACTTCCACATTTCGTGTCAGTCGTTGAACATGAGGTTTATTGAGCGGCAGCTTCAGACTGCCCTCAATCGGTTGTTGACATGGACCACTGCAAATGGTCTTAAATTTTCTTTTTCCAAAACCGTTTGCATGCATTTTTGCCGCCAACGGGGTCTCCACCCCGATCCCGAGCTCCATCTCAGCGATATAGTTATTCATGTGGTCACTGAGGCAAATTTCTTGGGGCTTATCTTTGACCGTAAGCTTATCTTCATTCCACACATCAAGCAGCTACGTGTCAAGTGTGCAAGGGCTCTGAACATCCTCCGTGTCCTCTCTTCCACCTCTTGGGGTTCAGATCGATGTTCTATGTTCAGGATCTATCGTGCTCTGATTTGATCCAAACTGGACTATGGGTCTTTGGTCTATGGTTCTGCCAGGACATCAGCCCTGAAGATGCTGGACCCCA